CCATCATTGTTGTTTGTCAGGCCCAGGCTGGATTTGAACCTGCCACCTTAGGTGTATGTGGCTGGCACCTTAGCCACTTGAGCCACAGGCGCCAAGCCAGTTCTCAACCTTCCTAATGCTGCAATGTATTTTCATTGTTAAAAGGGGGTTTCGACCCACAGGTTGAGAACCACTGGCTTAGGTGATTCTCTTGCCTCAGCCTCCTGAATAGCTGAGACTATTGGCACCTGCTACAATGCCCAGCTATTTTTTGGTTGCAGTTTGGCTGAGGCCGGGTTTGAACCTGACACCCTCAGTATATGCAGCCAGCGCCCTACCCACTGAGCCACAGGCACCACACCTGGCCTTTCCTTTTGACCTAGGTTATCTGTGAAAATAGGATGAATTTCCAGGAGACAGCTACCCCTTCCCCAACTCACTGTTTCCTTTCCCTTCTGAGATCTGCATCCATTCTTGGGATTTTATCCAGATTAGTATTCTCAAGAGGAAGCATGGGTAACATAAGAGGAAGCACAGGACTGTGTGTTAAGAGACCTGAGTTCTAGTCCTGACTCGGACACTAACTAGCTCTGTGGTCTTCTGTTCATTACTTCATTCACTCTACAAATACAGGTGCCCACTAGGTGGTACTACACCAGGGGACAGGATGGTGACAAGATCTCTGTCTTTGGAGTATTCTCAGTCTAGTGAGAAACAAGTAAATCCTGTATAGAGGGAGAAGGGTCCATGATGGAGGAAGAATGGAATGCCCTTGGGATGTAGAACAGGATAGAGCTCCTAGTCCAAATGGGAGGAGGCTGATCGGGGCAGCTTCCTAAAGACACCCCCAGATCCCAAGAGAGAGTCTTGCTCTGTTGCACTATAGTGCAGTGGTGTTATCATAGCTCATTGCAACCTCAAACTTCTGGGCTCAAGTGATATTCCTTCCTCAGCTTCCCTAGTAGCTGGGACTATGGGCACATGCCACCCTGCCTGGCTAATTTTTCTATTTTTGGTAGGGATGAGGTCTCAGTCTTGCTCAGGTTGGTTTCTAACTCCTGACTTCCAGCAACCCTCCCACCCCAGCCTTCCAAAGCTTTAGGATTACAAGTGTGAGCCACCTTGCCAGCCTTGAAAACAGGGCTTTTTATACTGAGACCTAGAGGATAAGTGGCAATTAGCCAGCTGAATCAACATTTCTTCATTAGATGAAATAATTATATAGATGAGCCTAAGATTCACTTTCAGGCTTAATCTAGATTTCCACGAACTTTTCCAGGCATTTCTAATACCCAGGGTGTTGCTACCATATAAAAGGTGCTAGTAGATGCCTATGGTAAAGGAATGGATGTGTGATGAAATCTAAAGACTAAAATCTAAAGACTACCTATGTGTGGCTCGGCGCCTATAGCTCAACGGGCTAAGGCGCCAGCCATGTACACCTAAGGTGGCGGGTTCGAATCCCCAGCCCGGATCCGCCAAAACAACAATGACGGCTGCAACCAAAAAATAGCCGGGCGTTGTGGCGGGCGCCTGTGGTCCCAGCTACTTGGGAGGCGGAGGCAGGAGACTTGCTTGAGCCCAGGAGTTGGAGGTTGCTGTGAGCTGTAATGCCACGGCACTCTACCCAGGGGGACAGCTTGAGGCTCTGTCTCAAAAAAAAAAAAAAAAAAAAGAAAAGACTACCTATGTGTGACAGATCTCCTGCTGTTACTGGCTAATGGCCATGGCAGTGAGTGACATTATGTGCAATTTCTTGGACCTTTCTCACCTCTACTTCAGCTTCTTCTGACTCTAATATCAATCCTTATTTAGGTGGCAAGCCATGGATGATCAAAGATAACAGTAAGCAAGCAAAGGAGTCAAACAGGCATAGAGCCTGAATAGCATGTGACTCAAAAATGATGTGAGCTGCTGAAACTGAATGCTCAATTTCTTTAAAGAGAGGGGTGGTGGGAGAGGGACAGTGCCTGGCATGGAATCTGCGTAGTCAGGGACTCTGCTGCCAGCAGGTCTCAGGGAATTCCCGGGTCATATGCTTGGATGTGTGGATGTGCTCAGATTGTCTGTGTGTGTGTGTGTGTGTGTCTGTGGGGGACTGGGAGGGTGAGTCCAGACTAGTAAAAGGGGATGCGAAAGCAGCTCAGAGTGAGGACTGTTGTGATGTGTACTGCTGGGTGCAGGCAGGAGCACAGGGGAGGGGCACTAGGGCCATGCTCTGGGGGTGAGGTGGGAGGCGGGGACAGGAAATGCAGGTCTCAGATACAACTAAGATGAATCTTGAGGAGTGACTAAGAATTAGCTCTCTATTCTCCAGAAGTTTACAGTTTAGTGAGAGAAATAAGATAAATATAATGCTTACTATGCCATCCAAGTAAAAAAAAAAAAAGGTAAGATCTCCCCCCAGATAAAGAGGCATAAAATGCCTGTGGGGTTGAAAGGATGGGTTTTATTCTGGTTCAGAGGTTGGGGGGCTCCTAATTGAGCCTTGAAGAGTGGGTAGGATTTGGTGAAGTTATGAGGTCTTACGGGAGGAGATTCCGCATGTGTCTTAGGGTTTGGGAGGGAAGAGGGAGCCAGAATGCTCATAACTCATGAACTATAGGGGGCCTCAGGGCCTACAGCATCTTCTTTCTTGGAATCATCTTAGTGAGCAATGCCTGAGCACCTCTTCTTTTCTCTAGGAAAAAGGCTCCACTCACTATTTCCTCCCAGCCGGAGACCTCAGCCATCATATTCCCTTTCCCCAGAGCTCTGAGGATGAGTTATAGTTCTCATTCACAGCCCTCCCACCCCCACTATAACGGACACTATGGCCTTGAAGGTGT